CCCACCCCCAAGTATGTTGTCATGTACCCACCCAAAAGCAGGATTGATTCTGAGGTTCACAGCATGTCATGCATAGATATTTTCCTGAATTTTCATTAATTAATATAATATTTGGCCTCTATTTGTAGCTAATGTTAAACTATGTTCAGTTTTATCATTTTTATATTTGTATGAACTGTGTTCAGAGTCTTTCAGGTAGCACTTATCAACTTACCATGTTTGGGCAGGTTTGGATTATTTACCAGACCTTTTCATTTCTAGGAAAGTTAAAGCTCTTTGTAGGTTCGTGCTGGCAGTGTCACCCTGTCCTGTTCTTCTGGCTAGCATTTCAAAAACTGAAGCCCTTATAAATCTAGGTAGGATACTTGTACTCTCTTAATTTGTGTTGTTGCTTTGAAATACCAGTGGCAGCCAGAATTTGCATACAGTGGCTGTAAAAGAAGATATGTTTAAATAGACACACGAGCTACCTGGGGCCCTTTTTGCTCTCCACTCCTTCATTTTACAGTGTATTGAGCACATTTGAATATGCGTTTACTCTGTGACCACTTGCATGCTCTGTAGGTAGCATCTTCTGTTAAGAGAGCCAAAGGGATGTGGTGAATCCTTTTCTTTGTGGTGGGAACTAATGCAAAGCCTAGTAATGAGTTGGCAAGAACAGACATAAGAAACTCTACCCAACACACTCTAGTGCTGTTGAATCCTACATGCTGTGTTGTAATGGCCCAACTGTGTGCATCTTCATAAAGCTTTTGTTTGTGTCACAGAGTGCCAACTTACCTGTGGTACACACCCTGGAGTGTGTGTGCTGTTCTCATGGAGCCGCTCTTGTTGTCTTTCTTCCAGACAAAGAACACTTGAAGGAGAAGGAGAAGCTGGAAGTGGAATTGGTGACCCTGCGTTCTGCCAATGAGGATCAGCGGAGGCACATCGAAATCCTGGATCAGGCACTGAACAATGCTCAAGCCAAGGTCATCAAACTGGAAGAGGAGGTGAGGCAAGGCATCATTCTCTGGCTCTGCTGGAAATTATTGCTTTAATCACTATTCATTTTACAGCTGTAATTCAGTCCAAGTCCTGAACCCTTTCTTGAACAGAGGCTAGAACCCACCCCCCACTTCCCTCATAACCCCTTCTAGGCAGAAAACATGGAGTTATAAAACACTAAGCCAGATGAAAGGAGACCACATTCATAGATGCTTTCAGAGCAATATGTAACCAGAAAATTGACCAGATTACACCAACTAAATGCTAATGTAAGGGCAGGACATGTAGTTCTATAAAGTAAAAAAAGCCTTACATTGATTTAGGACATGAATCCGATATTGGTTAAGCCCATTTCTTTCCAAAGAATCCCAAGTTATTTGAATAAAGAATGACAGCCAGTTAATTAACCAATTCACTAAACACAATGTAACAGGACTAGACAACCTGCACCCAAAAAAGAGTATTAAAAGAATTGACTGAGGGTTTTTTCTGAACCACTTAATAGTCAACAAATCTTAAAATATTGGTGCAGGGCCAACAGAATTGAACAGATATAATGTCCTGCCAATATTTAAAAAGGATTAAAGGGGTAATCTGGAAAGCTATAGGCCGGTAAGATTGATACCCATCCTGGGGAAAATCATGAAAAGATTGATTTGGGATGCAGCCAGGAAAAAAATAAAGCAGGGTACCATAGCACTATGGTGTGATGGGTAAGGAACTTCCTATGCCAGTGCTTACTGACTCATTGCCAGGCTTGACATTATTGTGAGAGGAAAATCGTCCACCAGTTCCCTTTGAAATCATTGAATGGATGATGCCAACTATTGAGCACACAGAAGGAGTCATTATACTATGTGCAAATTCAAATGTGATCACTATACTCTAAAACAGGGGTGGGCAAAATACGACCTGCGGGCTGGATTCGGCCTGTAAGGCCATTCTGTCTGGCCCGTGGGGCCCCTAAAAAAAAGTAGAAAATTAATATTTCTCTGCCCTAGGTTCCTATCAAAAATGACAGGAACCAAGGGCAACGGGACCCAAGGGAAGCCTGGCAGGCTCCAACAGCGGCCCGCCTGGCCCCGCCCCCTAGCCGGAAGCCCCAGCCACAGTTTCTGGCCTGGGAGCATGTGGCTGCCCAGACGTGGGAAGCTCAGGTAAGTGGGAGGGGGACCCCAGGCAAGGAAGGAGCACAGGGGGAAGTGGTCCTGGCCCGTGCCCGGTGCCCCACACTGCAGCTGCTTGCAGCCCGCATGGGGCTGCCTGTGCCTGCTCCGGACAGCCCCATGCTGGCTGCGAGCGCCTGTAGCGTGGGGCACCGGGCATGGGGCAAGGGAAGGGCTGCTTCTGCCCCCTCCCCCCCTCCGCTCAGCTTTTCCCTGGGCTCCTTCCCTGCACGGAGAAAAGTGGCCCCTCGCCCGCCCCATGGCCGGCACCCTGTCCTGCAGGTGCTCGCAGCCCGCAGGGCTGTCCAGAGCAGGTGCCAGTAGTATGTTTTACTACTTATTTCTTAGTTCTAAAAGAACAAATAAATAGTAAAACTTACTGAGAGAGGATGATTGTGCAATTAAGGCACTTGACTGAGATTTTGGGAACCTGAGTCCAACTTCTAGCTTTACAGACTTACAGTAAGTTCACGACCTGCTTGTGTGACACTGATCAGTCACATGATCTCTTTGGGTCTAAGTGAACAGTATGTAAAGCAAGGTTAATAATGCATCCTTATGACCACATTTTGTCTGGTACTAATCACAAAATTAAAACATGTTTTCAGAAATAGCTTCAGATTTTGTGTGTCAGTTTTTATCTGTCCAACTTGAGATTAAAATTTTTAAAGTTTTGAACTGTGATCTTAAACAGGGAGCTCTTAAAATAACTTGGAATTACATGAAGAGGGGAAAAAAATCAGAGGGAAAGTCTACACTGTTAGTGAGATTGTACCACCTACGCACTTCCGAAAACCCCTATGGAATTTTTGTATTGCCAATCATTATAATTTAGTTTTAAAAGCTTTTTATAGCTAGACAGGAACAATCATAATTCATGAATATTAATGCAACTTCTTGAACATGAAAATTACCCAATATGTAAATCTCCATAATTTTGAATGCCTGCTTGTATGGAAGGATTTTATTTAAAATCTGACAGTGAAGTTGCATCTGCCTGCATCATAAGTTTAATCACTACTGGAATACGGTGCCAAGTTCTGGTGTCCCCATTTCAAAAAGGAAATTGAAAACTGGGAAAACATTTAGAAAATAAAGTACAATTAGATGTCTGAAATCATGGCTTATAGCAAGAGATTAAAGTTAAGGCATGATTGGATGCCAGTCCACATGTTCATAGGTGACGAAATGTCTGATCATAAGCATCTCTTTTATCTCAGCAAAATAGGTATAATGAGGCCCAGTGGCTGGGCAGTGAAGCTAGACAAATGTCAGGCAAGAGGTGAAGTGCAGATTGTTAATAGTAAAAGTAAGTAACTGTAGGAACCAAGTTATTGAGGGCTCTGGTGTGTTCTCCAGCACTTAGAAGTCTAAATCAGGACTGAATGTTTGTCTAAATAAAATATGATAACTTGTCAATGGACCTTAAGCATAAGTTGCTGAGTGACCCTCTATGACCTGTATGCAAGCTATAGGTAAGAGGTCAAACTACATGATCATGGTGACACCTTCTGGCTGTTTGAGCTGTGGATCTAATGCTAGAAATTTGTCAGACCAGGAGAAAAATGTTTTCCCCCGTGATCATTGGCTGGGACCAGCACTTGGAAAGGTGTACTGGTCCTGTAAATATTTGTATTGCTTCATTAAGTGTTTCTTGCCCTACTAGATCATGAGTTATTGGATCTTAAAATCATATCATTCTGATTTACAAACTTGCTTCCCTTTATACATTTAATTTCCCAGTCACGCAGCATTATTTCCCTATCAAATCTTTCGTTTTCCATTTAGCAAATTTTTTTTTTTTTTTTTTTTAATAAACATGTGCAAGAACTCAGTAAGGATATCAGGATTGGCCCAAGAACAATAAGAACTTAGCTTGGAGAAATCTTGTTACTACTGATAAATGAGTCAAGGAGAACCCGGTCTGACTCACTGGTCCCAGCTCAGTTTTCAGAGCTGGTAGTTCGCAAACCCATCCTGTAAACTGAACATGGAACCCAGAAATACCTGTCTCATACTCACAGGATCTTTGAGGATATCATCTTCCACTTGCTTCTTGATACTTGTCTAGATTTGAATCCAATTAACATCAGTGTAAATCCACTGAAATCTTTAGAATTGTTCCTGTTTACACCAATGTAATGGAGATAAGATCTGGCCCATTGCCAGTGGCCCTTGAAAGGTTGGTTAGGGTCAGCTGCATTTTGAACTAGCTGTTACGACTCAAGAAAGAGACCACAGTAGGTAGTTCTCTGAAAATGTCAGTTCAGTGTGCAGCAGCGACCAAAAAAAGGCAATAAAACATTAGGCATCCTTCAGAAAGGAATTGAAAATAAAACAAGAACATCATTGTGCCACTATACAAATCCTGGTACACCCTCGTCCTGAATACTCCGTGCAGTTCTGGTCCCCACATCTTAAAAAAGATATAGCAGAATTAAAAAAGGTACAGAGAAGGGCAGCCAAAATGATCAACAGCCTAAAGCAGTTGCCGTACCAGGAGAGAGTGAAAAAGCTAAGACTCATCAGTTTGGAAAGGAGAAGACTGAGGTCTGTATGTTAGTCTATAAAATCATGAACTATGTGCACCAAGTGAACAAGGAAGTGTTGCTTACCAGGTCCCAAAATACTAGAATTAGAGGGGGTCCATTGAAATTTTTAGATGCCAGGTTTACAAGTAACAAGGGAAAATATTTTTTTACACAATATGTAGTTAACTTGTGGAATTCGTTGCCACAGGCGGTGGTGGACACAGATAGCATAGCCAGGTTCAAAATGGGACTGGATAAATGATAGATATATTAATGGCTATTGAACAGAATGGTTGGAGATGTTTCCTCTGGCATCTCTAAAGCAATAATGATGGATGCCAGGGAGGATATTGAAAAGGGAATAGAGCACTCTAGACATATCTGTTTCATTGCTTTCCCCCATAGCATCCATTTGTGCCACTTAGAGACACAATACTAAGCTAGATGGACCACGGGTTTCACCTCGTATGGCACATCCTGTTCTGAAGCTTTGCTTTGTTCCCTTGTGGTAAAGACAAAACAACAGCATGGATTTGCTTGTCAGTTTTAGGCTGGCATAAGGGAGCTCTGAGGAACAGGAATTCATTGTCATTACAGTCTATGGGAAGGAAGATAGCTCAACCTCAGTGTCTGAAAACAATGTTGTATATTCAGAAGCACCATCCAGGGCAGTGATTCTCAACAAGGGTGACGGGACACCTTGGGGTACCTTGAGATCCTTACAAGGGACCGTGAGGTGCCATGCAACATTAGTACTGTTAGGTGTGCAAACATGATTCACAAAATAAAGCCAGAGATTCCATATAGGAATCGATAGTGTTAAAAAACGTTCTGACTTGTGGCTTTTCTGAGTTCTTTGCATTATAAAATTGCTGTATGATTTTCCTGTAGTCAAAAATGAGTGAAAATTAACAGCTTGCATGTGTTGAGTGTTAATTTCTCTACCTCCTGTTTAGCCTCTAAAATGTTTAAAGAACTGAAATTTTACCCACATCCGCACAAATAAAGAGGAGGAGTGCTTATCTAGGTTAAAAACTGTAAATCCTTGTGACCAGCCATGACTTCACACAAATACTAACATCTACATCTCAATTTCCACGTGTCAAGTGTGCATGGTCATACCAGTATTCTGCAAAGTGCAAGCTTTCTAACCCTACCTCCCTTCTGGGTTGAGTGAGTATTTTCTCCAGCCTTGAAATCTGTAGCTTACTTTAGACTTTCAGCTTAGGCTACTTGATTTGTTTCTGTGCTGTAAAAACAGATGCATTTGAAAGGGGATTGAACATTTATGTTGATGTAAAGAAAAAAGAAAAAGAAAGGAAGAATGGGAGGAAAAGGAAACAGTCCTAGCAGAGAAGGGGATTTTAGTCTGCAAGGCTGAATTCTTGCACCTGGCTGCAGTAGTCAAAGTGATATCGATGCAGTATGGCTTAAGCATCCTTGCTACATGGGCAAGAGCTCTCCATCTGGTTCAGAAGTCATTTATACTTTGGATCACACTGGGACTCACTCTGAGAGATGCTGAGCACTTACCTCTTGCCTTCATAAATCTGGCGCATTCACAAATCAGTTGCTTCTGTAAAATCAGTTTTCACAGAAATCGTTGATGTTGTGCCTACTGACAAACATATGCCTTGGACCATCTAGAGCAGTATTTCTCAACCCGTGGGTCAGGACCCAAAAGTGGGTCTCAAGAATATATGAAAGGGTCGCAAGCAAACTTTAGAAATGGATTGTCCTTTAAAGGAGAAAAACATGGGGAAAGGGTGGGTTTTCCCTTACAGGCTGGCAGAGTTCCAGCCTGCAAGGTGTTGCTTGGAGCCCCCCCCATGCCCCACACACCCACTCCCTTCCCCATACTGGGGACTGGGACCTGGGGGCTGAGGCCAGCGGGTTGGGAGTGAGGGGTACTAAGTCGGGACCTTCGATGTTTATGAATGGATCCTGGTACAAAAAAGGTTGAGAATCACTGATCTAGAGCATGGGTGTCAAATGTTTTACCTGCAGCCCAAATACAGCCTGCAGAGCCAGGTCATCCAGCCTGCCAATTTTGCCACACCCGTGGCTGGGATGGAGGATCTTTCTGCAACAGCAACCAAGTGCCCAGGTGACAGTCACAGTGCTGCTGAGAGCAGGCCCAGCACTTTGGCTTGTTGCCCCTTGTGGCAGCCAGGCACCCATGATACCTGACTCTTTCTGGGGTGCTGCTGGGGCTCCAACACCCATGTAGCTACCAAGTACCCAAGTGAAAGCAGTGATGCTGGAGACCAAGCAGCACTGCAGGAAGAAGCCCAGCACCCAGTCTTGTTCCTATGGTGGTAGCCAAGCACCTGTGATGCTGGGCTTCTTCCTGACACATCCCTGTCTGTACCAGCTGGAGTGGATACCATACACACTGGATCCAGCTTGCAGAAGTCCATGGGCCCGATCTGGCCCTCAGGCTGGTCCCAAGCCATTCATCCAGCCTGCAGAATCAGATGAATTTGAAACCCCTAATCTAGAACTTCTGAGAACTCCTTTCTCCCCAAAAGGTCCTAGACTTGGTAATTTCTGCCATTAATAAAATATTGTTCTACTCTATTGTCCAGTAGTTACCACTTCCTTAATACAGTGGGAAGCATTGACTATAACAGCACAGGAAGCACCTATAGTTCTCCTACTGTCTGCATCCACTTTATGCCTGAAAAGTTAACAGGGGAGGGAGTCAGTGTGCTTCCACATGTTCAGGCTAGGGTATGCTACTTTACTAAATCAGAGATTAATCTCAGGCCAGAAAATGTGGTGTGTTGCAAAATCAGCATGTGATGTTTGGAATAATTTCTGTATATACAATAGGAGTAGCTGTAGTTTTAACTAGCAGTCAATGTGTACAGATACAAAAACAATCCCTTAATAGCAAAGAACACATCTGGATCAATCTCCTGCCCTTAAAATGAAACCACAAAAATGCGCTGAGAAAAAGGCCCCATCTACTTTTCATGTTAGCAGTTTTTAAGGGACTTGGCCATGGTGGAATTGGATCCCACTTTGGTGGCTAGGTCTACTTAGGTACCTAGTTTGCAGAATAGGATCTGACCCATAAATTTTCTGACCCATAAATTTTAGGGACCATTAAGGATCATCTAGTCTAAAATCCTGTGTACCACAAACCATTTCTCTACCAATGAGCCCAAAAACTTGTCTTCAGACAGGCATCCAGGCTGAATTTGAAGACTTCAAGAGATGGAGAGTCTACTAGTTTTCTTGATAGTTGTTAATCACCTCACCAGTGAATATTGGAGTCTAATACCCAATCTGACTTTGTCTGGTTTCAGCTTCTAGACATTGGTTTGTGTTATGCCTTTCCCTGCTAAAGCAAAGAGCCATGTGGTATGGGGTATTTTTCCCTGTGAAGTTCTAGAGTCATTGAAAGTCGCACTTACATTTATCATGTGCCAGCCATGGGTGCATATCACATTGGCTGATTTGGTCTGTATTTCTGTTTTACTGCCAATTACCTTGTGCTTCCAATACACTTTTCCCCAAGCTGCGCAAGAAGCAAGCCTACGTGGAAAAGGTTGAGAAGCTGCAGCAGGCTCTAACCCAGCTGCAGGCAGCATGTGAGAAACGGGAGCAGATGGAGCGGCGATTGCGCACACGCCTCGAGAGGGAGCTTGATTCACTGAGAATGCAGCAGGTAAGAGACCAGTCTTGAGCCACAGACCTGGGATCGTATACCCAGGCCTACCTTCCACCCTTTGGTGCCCTCCACCCTTTGCTATGTCACTGAAAACAACAGTGATTTTTTTTTTATTTGTCCATGTTTGATGTACATGAATAGACCCTAGACTTTACGTGTTCATGAGCCACTCTCCTACCACTAGTAAAAATGGTAGTGCGAATACTGCACCAGTTACTGGCAGCAGGAGTGAGCTGGAGTGAGAGAGGTCTTTTCACACAGTCACATGGTGGACAGATGCCGAGGTGGAAGGGGCACTATAGCTAGTTAGGAGGCAGTATTTTGTGGGAAGACTTTGATGTTGCCATTCATTAGGAATGCCAGTGTAGGAGCAGGTGCTTGTGGTGAGATTGTGCAGAGACCTGGTGGTTATGTGCGCTATTTGACCTTATTTTATCTGTTAAGAGTTACTTCCCTTCTCTCAACAAATAGAGAAACTATCCTGTAATGCTGAATAAGGGTGTTTCCAAATCAACAGTTATTTCTCTAATCCCAGCTATTTTCATTAACCAATATACCCCTTTTCCCATCTGTTTGATGTAATGGTTGCAGGGCTGGACACAGACATGGGCGAACTGGGCAGCTGCCCAGGGCCCAGACGGAAAGGGAGCCCAAAAATGGTCATTTTTTTTCCATTGTCCGGTTATTATTATCATTATCCCTGGCAAAGGGGGGCCTGATACTAAAAGTTCAGCCAGGGCCACCAGGAGTCTAGGTACGGTGCTGAATGGTTGCAAGAGTTTCTCTGTGATGTGGCCCTTGCCTCACTTAACTTGCAACTGAACTGGACTCATGCAGTGCTCTACATGTGGAGCTATCTGTGGAAGCCACTTTGAAACCAGTCCACAGCGAATGTAGTAGCTGGCATGTTTAGTGCATTTTCCAAAGAATGCAGTTACTCTTGTACTGCCTGGACTTTCTCTTTTTCTCTAGATCCAACTCATGTTGATTCCCTAGATCTGGGGTTGTATGTGTACCCCTGGGGGTACTTGGGACGGCCCTAGGGGGTACACGTGGCGATGCAGGGAGGCGGCGCACGGTGATGGCATGGAGTGATGAATGCTGGCGGCAGCCACACGCTGCTTCCCCACCCCCACTCCACCGTCATTCACCACTCCATGCCGCACACCGCCATGCACCACCGGGTTTGTGTCTGGCCGCCTTAAACACCCCCCATGTGGAAGGGGGTACACTCCAGAAGGGGTACCCACCAGAAGGGGTAGACTCCTTAAAAAGGTTGAAAACCCCTGCCCTAGATATCTGCAGGCTGCATTCAGAGAGGGACCCTTGGTTGAGGCCTTCTTATTGAGAGGTCCATAAGGTACTTAAGGCTAGATAGTGAAGTTTTGAGTGACAGCCTGTGCTGACCAAGTCTGTGGTGTGGAAATACTCACATAACACTTGCTAAACTCCCATTGCTCTGACCCAACTTATTCCTGGCTTAAGAAGCCTCTTCTGTGGTTGCTAAATATAACAGTCTCTAACTAAATGGATAGCCAAATGGATGTCAGTGCATTCTGGAGAACTGTCACATGCTTAAGACTTATTTTTTTACCAGTCGCTCTAAAGGGTTCGTTGACTTCCTTCAGCATCATCAAAACACCTGCATTATGGCTGTGTGCAGCACTGAAGTAGAATCCTGGATGCTTAATATACACGACTAGACACAGGGGCAAATGGCATCTTTAATTTTGTTTTGCAATCAGGGCAGTCAGTTTCAGCCCTATCAAAGGCCACCTTGCTGTGGGTGTCAGGTTCTTGCTATTTTGGATTTGTCCCTTCATTTAGACAATGCCTTCCTAAATTGCTGGTTTTCACTGGTAGATTGGGTGGACTGTTTATTGTTTTTACTGTGTCGTTGCCTGATGCTGCTTGGCTTGCTTGGCTTATTCAAGCCCATGCAAAAGCACTGCTTCCAACACCACTGTTGGAACCAAAAGCTGGGATTTGCCATCTGTGCTGTGTCTGAAGGGGCCAGTATACTCTGCAAAATTTCTTTTAAAAAACCATCTGTTGCACCAGAGATGCTGAGGGCTTGAGGAGAAAACATTGTTTGTACACGTGTGTCCAAGCAAATGTAAAGGATACAGCCAAGGACCTGGCCCTTAATTTCAGTAGGCTTTTATTAAGAAGAGGCAAGGTACAGAAGGATGCTCAGACAGCATGTGGCTAGCATTCTCTACTGTAAGACAATGTTGCATTTGGTCCACATGAATACTGGCACCGGTACAAAATATTTTACATGATTGCAAAGAGCCACCTCCTCCTGTCACCCTGGGATATTATTCAAACATAGGTGAGATCCAAAATTGAACGGGGATGGGGATAGATTGTGCATGTGTCTATGAATGAGTCCTTAGAGTCTGCGTTTTTTTGGCAGTCTTGTGCCTTTGTGCTTAAGTGTATGCTTGGAGGCTTAGTTTGACTATATTAACAGCACAGTTACTCTTCTAGGTAAGCAACTGTCTTTCCCCCTTTTACCATGTATCTGTTTCTGAATTCCGTCTGGTGTTATTTCAGGTAAAGAGGAGCTTATGAAAAAGAAGAACATGACGAATTAGTTGAGAGAATTTGCAGCTAGCAGCCAGTACGTATAACTTTGGGCTGCAGATGGTCACCAGATGTATACACTAGTACATTAAACCACCACTTAGAGAAACTTCTGAATGGTGTAAAAAGACACATAAAGCATGACACATAGCTTTAACTCTTAGACAGTTAACACATTTCCCCTTGAGAAACTCAGTGGCTTCCATAGCCCTTCTTTAATTAGGAGCTGTTACTTCAGTAGTGAATGAGTGCACTGGTATGTAGTGTTTATCTTGTGACTTCAGAATAAAAGATCTTATTCTGCTCGCAGTCACACAGGTGTAAATTGGGAGTAACACTATTGACGGTAAAGAGTTTATTTATTTATTTATGTACAGTGCCCAAAAGCTTGTCCAACAGCTCTTTCAGCTATACAGTTGGTCCAAAAAAGATATTGCAAAAAAATCCTTGCCCCTTGGACATTTCCTGAGCTATCATAACTACAACACTAGCATATATATTTGATTTATATGCTGTCCTTCCCAGCAAAGGCTCAGGGCAGCTTATAGGAAGAGAATATTATAACTTAAAAGGGAACTAGTTTAGAGGGTATCTGGTGATATTCTATCTCAACTGAGTTGCCCAAATAGGTCTGACAGTGTTCCTGTCAGTCCTCAGCCTCTGTCATCATATCGGGCTGTGGGTGTCAGTTTATCTCCTGGTTCTGGCACAAAGCCATGCGCCTACTGGGAGTCCATGTCCATCTCTCGTTGGCTTACCATCTCCAGACAAATGTCCAGACTCAGAAGACCAGTCAGGTCTTAAAGCACTGTCTCCATCACTACCTGATTTTTCAACAGAATAACTGATTCTCATTCCTTAAGTTCACAGAGTTTGCATACAATAGCTCCAAGCATATCTCAAACAGACAGAGCCCATTCTTTGCAAACTATGGGTTTTACCCCCAGGTTGCATCCTGACTTACCTATAAACTCCAACAACCCCACAGCTACAGAATGGGCATACCACATTCATAAAATCCAGGAGGAATTAATGCAATACCTGGATAAGACGAAAGAGGCTTGTAAGTGGCAGGCAGGCCAGCACTGACAGCTGTGGCCTGCCTATTTTGTGGGACAAAGTCTGGTTGTCAACCAAACATGTCCACACTGACGCATGGAAATTAGACCACCACCTCCTCAGCCCCTTCCACACAACCTGCCAAATCAATCTGGTAGTCTTCAAACTACAACTCCAGACACTGAAGATACATACACCTGGTATACACCTGGTATACACCCTGTCACTATTTAGACTCCATATAGAGGATTCTTCCCCTCCACCACTTCCTGTAACAATCCAGGGACAGGAGGAATACCTGGTCCATGAGATTTTAGACTCAAAGTGGAGATGAGGAGAGTTGCACTACTTAATAGATTGGGAAGGCTACAGGCCTGAAGACCACACATGGGAATGACCTGAAAACATCCATGAACCCAACTTGTTGAAAAAAATTCCATGGCCTCAAACCTAGGGCCTCAGCCTAGCCAACATTGCTGCTCATCTCAGCCTGTTGCCCCATAGCTGATCATCCAGACTGGTCATGGCCAGCCTGAAGCTCTCAGCAGGATCTAACTCTCTCCTCTCTCTCCCTCTTACCGAAGTGGCTGTCTAGGGTCAGCTGACCCTCCACTTCTCACATATAAACCCCTGAGCAGGAACAGAAAGTGTCTGAGCAAAAGGGCTGTACCTAACCCATGATTGCTCTGATGCTCCCTCCAGCTTATTCTCTGCTTGATCTTTCAGCTCCCTGACTTGGCTCATGGTAACCTCCATCTACTCCTCTAGTGCTCTTGACTTGGCATGCTTTCAGACTCTACTCTCTGATTGAACTCCCAGCAATCTGACCTGGTTTATCCCCAGACTCTTCTCACCTTTCCTGACCCTGGCAGGTTCCTGACCCTGAGTGACTCTAGACCTGGACACCCATGCCACAGTCTGACAGCTTCCAAAAGCTGTCTAGGCTTGGGTACTAGCAGGCCTCAAGGGAGGGATTTCCAGAGCTGAGGGGCAGCTGCTGAAAATGACCTTCCATGCATTTTTGCCAAGCAGACTTGGCATATTGATGATACTTGCAGGAGGTTGCTTGTGGAAGACCTTAAGGATTGTGATGGGACATAAGAAAGGAAGTAGTCCCTTAGGAACATAGGACCCAAACTAGGGTGCACCGATAGAGATTTTTGGGGCCGATACTGATAGCCAGTTTTTAAGGAGGCACAATCTGCATGCGGGGTGCGAGCGGGCTGCAGCTGCAGGCTGGGGCCGGGGCTGTACTGGGCTCTTCCCAGCAGGTGCTGGGCTGGGCTGTGTTCGGGGCATGCAGCAGCAGTGCTGAGAGGGGGACTATGGTGAGGCTGCAGCCACCCCAAAATTCACCGTAGCCTCCCTCCCGTAGGCGCCTGCCCCGCCCCGAGTACAGCCCAGCTTAGCCCACACCAAGAAGAATCCAGCGCAGCGCTAGCCCCAGCCCGCAGCTGCAGCCCACCTGCACCCCGCACGCAGATCTGGGGCACACTTCCCCTGCCCCCAATGCCCTTCTGGGGTGTGTGCAACAGCAAGAGTTGCCCACCCCTCCTTCCCCGCGCCCTCCAGATGAGCTGCGGCTCTGTCCCATGCTCCACTCCACCCCGGCTGGCCAGTACCTGCCCCAGCCCATGCCCCAGCTTCACTCCCTACCTCACCACGGGGGCCTTGATCTAAAGCACAGCATCTTAGCAACATCACCATACAGCAGTGTGTAGGTCCAAGGTCTTTTAACTTCTGGTCCTGTGCATTCTCATCCCTGTTTTGCATAAGCAGTTTATCATTTTCTCATCCACAGTGTTCAGAAAGATTTGAAAGGAAACTCTATTTGTTTTGCTTGTCCCAGAGGTCAGACATTTCAAAAGATGATGCTAAATGAGACCTTGTCTAGGTAAACAAACTGATCAGTGTGTTATCCATTATGTGAAAAGGCTGCTTTGTCCACACTGGGTTTTTTTGTTTCTACAGTTTAGTATTTATTTAAGTGTCATTATTGTGCTCTTTGCTGTAGAAGTCAGGTTTGGTCTGTAAATTTGTACACAGACAGAAAGTCTGAATCTCTTAAGGAGCCAGTGGTGATGTGCATGTATTTACATCCATGACCCTTAATAGTTTACCAGTTGCAGCTTTATTTTAGCATACTGTGTCCCTTTGCTTCTTTTTTGACGGGGTTTTTTTCTGTTTCCTATATAACCTTCTTAGGGACATGCAAGAAGCAAGGATTTTTTGTGGGTGATACTTATACCAAACACTGTCCATGCACAATAGAAGAGTGATAAAATATCTCAAAAGAGGTGTCTTTTATAAGAACTGTCATGCTTTCCTACCAAATTCTAGGTGTGGAATACGCCACAGAGCTCTTGCAGCCCATGGTAAACAGCTGGTGTCCTAGTTAGCATCATGGGATCATAGAAAGCAGTGATGGAAGGGAACTTGTCTGAAGGGACAGAAGACTAGAAAAGGAAAGTAGTGAGAGAAAGTCTGGGCAGTGCCCTCCAGAACCCCATCCAGTGTGTGCAGCATGCATGCAGCATGGGGCATGCTGGAATGGTTCACTCCCATGCATTGATATGGGCTGTAGGCAGTAGATATACTGCCCCTGCCAGTCTATCCCAGAATCTCATTGTGTGTTCAGCACTCCATGAATCGAGTTGTATTTACAGGTGTGTGATCACAGCTTATGTCAACTCATTTCAGTCTTGTGAAGCACATGCCTCTTTATGGGTAGACGGCGGGAATGCAAGCTCTGTCAGCCCATTTCACTACCACATGAACTTTTAATATACCATGTTCAGCAGTAAGACTGGCATTTGTAACCTGGGGATTACAGTGGACAGTAAGCTGAATGTGAGCCAACAGTGTGCCCTTGTTGCAAAGAAGGTTAAAAGCATCCTGGGCTGCATTGGTAGGTGTGTTGCCAGCAGGTCAAAGGAATTGATTCTTCCCCTCTGTTTTGCACTGATGAGGCCACATCTGGAGTACTGTGTCCAGAAAGGATATGGACAAATTGGAGAGAGTCCAGTGGAGGGCAGCGAAAATGGTTAGGGGCTTGGGGCACATGACTTCTGAGGATAGTCTGAGGGAATTAGGTTTATTTATTCTGGAGAAGAGACGACTGAGGGATTTAATAGCAGCCTTCAACTACCTGAAGGGGCACTCCAAAGTGGATGGAGGTTAGATATTAGGAAAACTTTCTCACGAAGAGGGTAGTGAAGCACTGAAACAGGCTCCCCAGAGAGGTTGTGGAATTTCCATCCTCAGAGGTTTTTAACACTCGGCTAGGCAAAGCCTTGGCTGGGGTAATCTAGTTGGGGATGGTCCTGCTTTGAGCAGGGGTTGGACTAGATGACCTCCTGAGGTCCCTTCCAACCCTAACTTTCTATGATTCTGTGATTCTGTTTCCCCACCTTCTGTGTGGACACCAGCTCTGCCAGCCTGGTTCAGTTCTCAGAAACTTTGTGAGGACCCTTAACTAGATGTTTTACACTCTCCAGCTATAGCACTTGTGTCACTTTCTTAACAAAAAACATGCTCACACAATGCTGTTGAGTTTAGTCACAGATCCTAGAGCTGTTTTTCCTTTTCCTCCTTGTAGGCAATAACTCTTAGGTTTGACAAGTAGCAAGTTCTTTGAAAGCTTCAGGACCCTTAGTGGATATTGGTGCGTGGAGAATCCGGGGTAGTTTGGTAGAAGATTTTGCTGGGAAGATTCCTGCAGCTCTTAAGTTGGAATGGAGTGAGTCTCCATCATTGTTTTTCTTTCCCTCCTTCAGAAACATGGGAACTACCAGCCAGCCAGCCTGCCAGAGCATAATGCCCCAGCACTGATGGAGTTGGTTCGGGAAAAGGAGGAGAGGATTCTGGCTCTGGAAGCTGACATGACTAAATGGGAGCAGAAGTATCTGGAGGAAAGCACAATCAGGCACTTTGCCATGAATGCTGCAGCCACAGCTACGACAGAGAGGTGAGGTACCATTGGTTCAAGCAGTTGACAACATGCTTAGTCAAATGAAGTTATGAATAATAACAAGGAATGAGTGTTTGCCTAAGGCTAAACACTGCTTATACTAACCAGGAAAATAATTCCTTCAGTGGTGATGGGACTGCTCAGTGGAGTAAGGCCACCAGAATTGTCCTTTAATGAACACAGGATTTGCCATTCTGGCTCAGGATCAGTATTCCATCAAGCTAGTGACTAGCATCCACCAATGGCCTATAAATGGTGCTTCAAAGGAAGGCATCTTAAAACACCTGACTATATGTTGCTGGGGGAAATAAAGTGTTCATCTAAGTATTCTGCTATCTGGAACAAACTTCCCTTCATGTACAGCTAAATTCTACAAATAGTTCACACAGACACAAGCACTGTAATATACCCAAGGGACGAGTGCATTGATTGTGGGCTTGCATAACACCCACAACTTTCTTTGACTTCCATTACACCTGGGAGTGCCCAGGGAACATGGTTTGTAAACTTTCTGTGCAAAGCATCATCACTGTTGGCCGATGTGTGCTGGAATCTGTATCATACTTAAAGCATCCTACTGAAAAGGACTTTTTCAGATGTTTTACATTCTAGATGTAACTTTTGCAGAAAAACAAAATCGGGATTTGCAAAATCTAACATAGAGCGATTTTTTTCATGATTTTTTACACTAAAACCTCAATTATATGTTCATATATTTTACCTTGAACAGATTCCCCTGCAGTGTTTGAAACCCAGGTGCAATAGATCTGTCCTAGTGTAGGGTTGTCCAATTGGCGGTCCCCAAGAGTTCATTGTGTGGCCTGCGGATTCCCACCCAGCTGCCACACTCTCCATTGCTTCTGCTACTGCAGTGGCCAGGGTCTCTGGGGCAGGACAGGATAGTGGGAGGGAGCTCTGTGAGCTCGTTACCTGCACAGGGTGGGGGGCTTATGCTGCCCATATAACAAGTGCAAGCAGAGGGCTTGAGGGTGGCTCATGCTACTGACACGACAGTGCAGGGAGGAGCTTGCGCTACTTGCATGGTGTAGGGGGCTGTGCTGGCCCTGTGGTGGCAGTCCAAGGAAGCCCATGCAGCATGCAGCCTTTGGACACTGAAGTTGAACACTCCTGTTCTAGTGCATGAGAAATGGAGAGCAAAGCAGACCTGTTCTGCTTCAGTGCCCAGCAATGATATGCAAAAAGTAAACAAATAACAAAATTGTCTGAAAGCAAATTAGATCCAGGATAGATAATTCTCCTGGTTTTCTGCCAATTCTCTGACTGTGCCATCACTTCCAAGGCTAATGTATTAATGCATTATTTTATTTAATGTATCAGGCCTGGCCTTCAACATAAGCAGTGATCCACTAAAACTAATGGAGTTATGCTATTTTAGAGTGACTGAGGATCTCGCCCATCATTTTTATCTTGACAGCGTCCTTTCCTTATTAATTGTGGAACATGATATTTCTCTTCCAGTTTGTTTTTCCTTTTTTTTTTTTCCTCCCCCCATATCTGAAAGGTTTGTTTCACTAGAATATTACATTCTCCAGTGATACCTGGTGTATCACAGATGTGCTACCTGCAAATTTCCTTTGTAATGGCAATGGTAAAATAATAGCTTGTCTGCCTGTTTGTATTGACACAAGTGTTTTGTTGAAGCAAGTGACACTAAGGGGCCTGGCTGTGTCTTGTATTGCTAGGGATACCTCAGTCATGAACCACTCACGGAATGGCAGCTACAGTGAGAGTTCCCTGGAGGTGCGGATATGGCAGGAGGAGGAGGAGATTGTGCAAGCCAACCGGCGGTGTCAGGACATGGAATACACGTAAAGGACAGCTGTTAAATACTTACTGGGGTGGGAGATGTGCTGAGGCCTCCTCGTACAATCCCCAGCGTTCTTGCCATTTGGATTCCTGGATAATCTGGGATACACCCGTTTAGCCCTTCACTTGGTAACTCTGACACCCCTGCTACATGTTACATATATTATGCAATTTACTGGTTAAATGCACAATAAATTTAGACCATCCACATGTGCAAATTAAGACTGGCCACAGGTGCAAAGTAATTATCACACAATTAACTGGTTAATCATGCAGTCTGTTTAGACCAGCCACACATGAAAAATAATTATCAGTCAGTAAGAATGACTACCCAGATTTAAAAAATCCAAACAGCTACATAGTTAGTGCTTTAAAATTTGTAATAGCTGTATAGCTGGTTTCTCTCCAGATTTAATTTGAATGTGTAGCAGGGCCCTTAAAGGAAGGGCTTCTCTCCAATTTGATTTCAGTTTCACTCTCCAGCTTTTGAAAGCTAAAAAGAGATTAGATTCATTCTGCCTCCTCCCCTGCCTGGATTTTAACCTTCTGTGTGCTACAGAGACCTTCATACAAACATGTCTCCATTGTGAGTGGAAAGAGGCGGGTGTGTGAGGCTGCAAAATGCTTGTAGCATGTCAGTCAAACTCCTGCTTTTTAAAACAAGGCTGTACTAATAAATACTGAATAGTGACCCCATCACCTTATCATCTAAAATATGTGTATGTATATGTATCCAGTATCTACAGATCTAGATAAATAGATATCTGGATTATATTTAATGTATTGTAGCATTTAGGTGTACATACCTTCCAAACCTAGCTCTAAAGCTGCACACACTAAAAATTTCATATACAAGCATAAGTGACAAAAAAACCCTGCTTGTGTATGTCCAAGTAGGCAATTAAAGGCACAACCATTCATTTGCCTATGCAATTTCCTGTTATAAATATGCAAATATATTTATGGTATTTTCAAATACCTGTTAGAGCTGGTCAGACATTTTAATCAGAACTTTTTTTGATAAAATAGATATTTATTTGAGAACATCTCATGATTTTTTCCTAGGATTTCACTGAAAAACATGTTGAAAAGAAAAAAATTCTGCTTTATGATTTTAAATTTTGGATAAAAGCCCAACAAAATCCATACAGTATTCACGTACAAAAAAAAAATTCCAATTTCTGTGGAAAATCAATACATACATTTGTTACCAGTTTGGCCATACAAATCTGTCTCACACATGGAATCTCAAGGAATTTATTGGGAAGTTCCTACAGGAGAACAAGTTGATCAGGAACAGCTAGCATGGATTCACCAGGAGCAAATCATGCCTGACCACAACCTGATTTCCTTTTATGATAAGGTGGCTATATGGGTGTTGGGAGAGTAGTGGATTTGATATACCTTGACTTTAGCAAGACTTTTGACACTGTCCCTTGCAACATTTTCATGAACACACTATGGAATTACAGACTAGATGAAAGTACTATAAGGTGGATATATAACTGGTTATGGCTCAACGAGTAGCCATAAATGGCTCAACATCTAGTTGGAAGCTGGAGTCCCCCAGGGGTCTGTCTTGGGTTCAGTATTGTCTAATATCTGCATTAACTATGTAGACAATGGAACTGAGTTCACACTTGGCAATTTTGCACACAACACCAAGTTGGGTGCGGTTGCAGACACTGGAATGTAGGGCTAGGATTCAGAATGACCTAGATAGACTGGAAAAATTGTTGGCAATCAACCAAGATTTGGCAAGGACAAGTGCAAAGTCCTCCACTTGGGACAGAATAATTGCATGCACAAATACAGATTGAGGAGTGACTGGTTAGGTTGCAATACTGCAGAAAAAGACTTGGGGGTTACAGTAGACCATAAACTAAATAAAAGCCAACAGAGTGCTTTTGCTGCAAAAAAAAAAAAAAAAAAAAAAAAAAGCCAACAGCATACTGGGTTGTTTTAACAGAAGTGTCACTTGCATATCAAGGGAAGTGATTCTTCTGCTCTATTCAGTACAAGTGAGGCCTCACCTGCAGTCCTGTGTCCAGCTTTGGATGTGACACTTCAAGAAGGATGGGGACAGTTTGGAAAGAGTCCAGTACAGAGCAACAAAAATGATTAGGGACTTGGGAGGCGAGATTTATTAGGAAAGGCTGAAAGAGCTAAGGTTATTTTGTTGAGAGAAAAGAAGACTGAGGAAGGATTTGATAGTATAAGAGTGATGTTGTAGCCATGATGATCCAAAAATTATTTGACAGGCAAGGATCATATATTTTATTGACCAACTATGTAGTTGGGATAAAGTTAGACAAGCTTTCAAATGCAAGACATTCTTCGTCAGGTCTCTGATCATAGGAAGCCAAGCACAGCATAGCAAAAAACAGCAGAAAGTAAGGGCTGAAATAAAGTCTCCAGGGTAGCAGACACATGATTAACAAAAGAAAGGAAACTGATTACTGGGAGGTAATGGCCTATCAAAAGGGAAAGGATCATTCTCACTTTTCTTCTCACCTTTGTGGGGAAAGAATTCAGGCATTGGTTAAAATATAATGTTCAACAAGCCCAAGAGGGGGTGCTTGTTCTGTGAGAAAGTGCTCTTAATGTTTTGTATATGTCTCCATTTTTTATATTTTTCCTGTGAGAGTTCATACTGGTGGGAAATGGCTACTCCTCATGTTCCTCATGTAGTTGCCATGAGTACACTTTATGCATTGAATCAAGTATATTACATTTTGGGAAAGGCATGTGTAGGAATTATGGATTCTGATGGTTTCTTTATGGGGGGAGTTGATAGTAGTGTTAGTGGAGATGTGATGACGGGTTACAGGGATAAAGGTTGTAGGCATGTTGGTCTAAGAATACAAGCGGTCAGTGTGCTAGAGCTTGCAAATCAAGAAAAAAAATTTCCAACTGTCTGGTTGGTCTTCCACTTGATGTATGTTGGGTAATGGAGACTTTGCTTCTGATGAAGAGTTAGGCAAAGTTAGGGGGATGTTTGAAAGCCAAGAGAAGAGGGGCTGGGAATATTTCTCTCCAGGTCTGATCTTTGTTGAGTATGGGCTGTAATTGTTTGGCGATTCTTCTGATTAGTTCCAGTATGGGGTGGTAGGTCACCACCGGGGGTGAACAGTTGCAGCGGGGGGTTCGTTTTATATTGTAGCAAGTTACTGCAGGGTATTTGGATAGCTCTTTCAAATGTACAGTCCGTCTCACTACTGGGGTTGTATAAAGGCAAATTTTAGGTTGGTGGGGTAGGCATCACAAGTATTCTCTTCTGAGCCAGTACACTGATATCTGAGGGCCTGGCTACACACAACAGCTTTTTGAAGTGCCTGGGATGATTTCTGGTCTTGTAGACATAGGTATGGTGGTCTGTAAGCTTTCTATAATAGTAGTTTGTAGGTTTCTGTCCCGCATATGGATGATTGTATCTAAAAAGTTGATGTTAATATAGAAGTATATTCCAAATGATTGTGCAGTTTTCTAGAAATTTTTCTTCCAGGTGGCTCATGAAGAGGTTGCCATATTTGAGGGGCCTGGCCATCTTTGTGTCCATAGCTCTGCCCATGGTTTGGAGGAAGTGACAGTTGTTAAAAATAAAGTTTGTTTGAGTTGAGATGAAGTGCATGATTTGTGCAATGTGTTGCAAATCTGAGTCAACTCCATGTTCTCAAAGGTATTTTAGGCAGGCAGCTGTCCCTTCATGGTATAGGATTTTAGTGTACAGGCTAGTGACATCTGTGGTGACATCCTTTTGCAAGTGGGTGATGTTCTGGATTCTGTTGAGGTCTGTGGTATGTTATAGAAAACTTGCTCTTCGAGTGACAGGTGATTTCACTATAGTTTCTATGAATCCTAATAGCTGTTTAGTGAAGGTACCACAGTTGGATATGATGTGTCTGCAGGGTTTTGATAATAGTCTTTAAATACCTGAAGGGTTATTACACAGAGAATGGAGATGGGCTCTTTTCTATGGCTGTAGAGGACAGGACTAGGAGCAATGTCCTCAAGCTTCAGCAAGGGAAATTTAAGTTGGAGATAGGATTCTGACAACAAGGGTGGTCAAGCATTGAAACAGGCTATATAGAGAAGGATTTCCCTCCTTGGCAGTTTCCAAAAGCAGGTTAAACAGACACTTGGGTAGGATGGTTTAGTCAGAGGTGCTCTTGCCTTGAGCAGAGGACTGGACTAGATGACCTTGTGCGGTCCCTTCCAGCCCTACTTTCCTATGATCCTATTCTTATATGCATGCACACACGTACAGAAGATCCAATCCTATTTTCACTGAAATGATGGGAGTTTTGAAACTGCTTTCATTTAAAGATGAATAAGGATTTTATGTTGCCAGGGTAAATGAGGCACTTGATTTTGAAAATTCTGACCTTAGAAGGTTCTACCTCCCATCATGTGCTTATGTAGTACGTACATATAATTTTAATTTTAAATACCCCCAAATCCTGCTGTAGTATTTGATTAAGTTCTGCCCAGCACAGTTTTCATTAGAATTATTTTTTTTGTTTGTAGGGTCAAACTTTTTCAGTTTGATTCCCCATCCCATCATTCCTCCAGCCCGTTCTCAGATAATTGATTCTTTCTAGTTTCAGGGTCTGTAGTGGATTGCTGCTGTACACTTTGAAAGCAAGGATTGTTGATTGTTTCCACACCCTTTAACAGAAACTGAGGAGCAAACAAACTCACTGAATCTTTTCACCTATTTCAGTGATAGTTGTTTTGGGCCTTAAGAGATTTCAGCAACACTGCTTACTTAATAAAATCTTTATACCAAATGAGTATAGGGTCAAATCCTAAGATCTTTACCAGGTACCAGACAAACTCTCCAATGGCAACCTGCCAGAGTAAGCAACACAGGATTTGGCTTTTTAACATAGTGGAGCAACCATAATCGCTCATTTACTAATTTTTGTAGCTTTAACAGTCCGTGGCATATTCAGGCTATTATTCAATTTATTCTTGCTAGTTTATTAAAGTCATATCAGTGGATCAGTTTAATTAGCATCTCTGTTTCATGTAGCTGCTAAGAAATGATGCTTAATTAGGTTCTGTCAGTGTCCCACAAAAGAAATAGTGGAAGTTTCAGTGCTTGAGTTACTTAAAACTGGAGAGGACAAAGCAGCTAAGAATATGCTGCAGGGAACAATCTTGCAAAGACAAGGGGGAAGAAGTAGCTGAGATCTAGCTATTCTTTTCCATCTCTGTAAGCAAACATTCATATTTTGTCAGGATAAAGAATCTCCATGCAAAAATCATTGAAAAAGATGCCATGATCAAGGTCCTTCAGCAGCGTTCACGAAAGGATCCTGGGAAAAATGACACCGCAAGCTTACGGCCTGCTCGATCGGTCCCATCCATCGCTGCAGCGACAGGGGCACATTCCCGCCAGACCTCTCTCAGCAGCAACCAGATCGCTGAAGAGAAGAAGGAAGAGAAGACTTGGAAAGGTAGCATAGGTGAGCTGCAGTTTGAGCTAGATACTGGCCATGCAAATGCCTTCAGAGAAAGGAAGGATAACCTTCTGTCTGAATCAAGGAGAACTGGCTAGAATGATGGCACATTGTCCTAGGCAATCCTTGTTGGATTAGCATTCCCAGAAAAAGAACCCGCATTCAATCCCTGAGCTAAAATAAAGCCTTACTGGGCCATTTTGAAAAACCTGGGTTCATATTTCCGTGCAATTCATTAGCAAAAATCCTTCTTTGGCCAAAATGGGAATAAAAGAAAATGGCAGCTCTTGAAGCTGCAAAGAGTCAAATACAGCCTAAGCCACCATGTTTCTGTATGCTCCTGTGTACCGGGACAGCTGTATCCTTTGGAGATTCACTGCTGCAGGCAAGCCAAAAGTATCTGCAGCCTTCATAGCAGTAAACATCTTGTCTGGCTTAGGAACATTTGGATTTAACTTAAACAAGACACGTTAGACAGGAGTTTGTAATGTGATGTAGCAGCAAAAAAAAGGAAAAGAATGCATGCAGTTTTTTTCAGCAAGCAAACAAAACTGCGGGTCAGTGATATCTTTTCTCTGCCATTATTCTGAAACAACTGTTTTATGAAAAAGGGCGAAAAAGAATGGAGTGGGTTCAGCTTGGGGAAAAGGTTTTTGAGGGTGTTGTGATAATAGCATAAACACCAACAAAGAAGAAAAACAGCAAGGAAACAGGATACAGTGAGGGGTAATGTGATCAAAACCAGGGCTTGGTTCCATCCTTGTCATGTAGGGGAAGGGGAAGGAATGTATATGGAGATAAGATGGGAAAGTGACGGACTGGGAATAGCACCTTCATTCTCCTTCCCTCCCTGGTAGCTCAGTCAGGTTACCTCCATCTCAACTCTACAAGGCTTCAGGGAAAGGAAAGAGGGAGTCTGTAGCAGCTGCTGTAGGTGGTATACTGCTCTTTTAACTGATCAGTTATGCTCATTAGGAAACCACAGGGAGAAGAGGAAGGTGGAAACACCATAGGGTTGGTAGGGAGGAGCGGAGCACACATCTGAAGACAGATTTGGGCACACAAACAAGTTAGCACAGGGCAGAGTGCTTTACCAGCTGTCTACAGCTCTGCAAAAACTATCCATTTCCGCTTCCTTTGTATGTTAAATGAAAGCTGACTTGCCATCTTTTACTTGGGACTTTGTCTTGCATAATTTGTTTGTATGCCTATTCCTTAAGCTTGTGCAGTCTCCAAGCTGCTCAGCACTGAGGTGCATCTCTCACCATTCCTGGCCCCTCTCCCCCACTTGAGAACATTTTTTTCTATGGACTCCAGAAAAATCACTCTGCAAGCTGAATAAAAGGAAAATCTTTCTTATGGTGAGAGCTAGGAGGCAGTCTCTGAGGGACATTTTAAGAGCAGTTTTTGTAGCTGGATAGCGGACACCATATTGATGGAGATAAGGTATTTAAAACTAGCCTGGATAAAGCCACCAGTCAGAGTGCCTGGGGAAATTGTCTTGCCTGGGGAAGAGGATTTGCTGGGTGATGGAGCAGGTCTTTTCCATGCCTGATTTTACTGATATAATTGTCCTTGTGTCTTTTAGGGTTGCTTTTAGGGAAGGATCATCATGACCATTCATCAATCCCAGCGATGCCACCTCCCCTTCCCTCTTTGTCATGTGCAACTGCATCATTACCGGTGACCGCCTCCCATGCTAAAACAGGAAGCAAAGACAGCAGCACTCAAACGGACAAAAGCTCAGAGCTTTTTTGGCCAAACACTGCCTCTTTCCCAGGCAGGGGAAGGTTAAGCACCACCCCGTCCAACAGTCCTGCCCTGAGGCACACCGGGGCCAAGGGCACTGGAGAAAAAGTGGGTAAGTGATGCCAATCTTCATGATATAGGCAGTGTGTAGACACTATGGAGACTACAGCTACATACTATTTGAGAGATTATAAGTAAAACTGAGAGAGAGATTATAAGTAAAGCTGTAGATAAGCAGACACCTAATAGATATAAATGTCTGATTGTTATTACACCGACTGAGAGAGAGATTGGACCAACTCATATGCTTTGGTTTTTTCAAACTTCGCTATGCAGGATTTAGATTTCATAAGGCTCCATCCACTAAGTTGTTAAAATGTCAGGAAATATAATTATTTATGCTGCCAAAAATACCATAAGGATTCACACATTGAAAACATTGCAAGTGTGTTCATATATTTAATTGGAGAATTATCCCAGTTCAAACCATTTTAAACATCAGGGGCATTACCACGGCATGCAGAGTATTCAGAATCAGGTTCTTCCAAAAATATGCTTAAACCCTTCCTTGATGGAAATCCATTGTGCCACTGAAAACCTCCTATGTTGAAAGAAGTTGCAAAAGAAAGGGATTATGTTTCCAGATTTCAAAACTGCAGCATTAAAACAGGAATTTCGTCCCAGAGGGCATACATGGCTGGCAGCTAGTTCCACTGTAACACAAGCAAAGCAGATCTCACTCTTGTTAGCTTAGCAGGGCTGATTTTGGCCTTCAAATGTATAGTGAGAGAGGCAAGGATTTTTGTGGATGACATCTTTCTTTGGATCAACTGCATGGTGCATCCAATAAAAGATATCACAAACAAAAATCCTTGCCTTGTGCCTATTTCTTTGGACTATCATGGCTACAATATCACTCCAACATTACCACAGATAGTGAGAATTTTTTCCCTCCACAGATTTTGGATTAGTTTTAGAAAATGTTTTGGTGCATCTGAGATCAAGATTTGCTTTCTGTCATCCCAATCACAGAGAACACCCCCAGCCATGGGAAGCCACTTGATAACAAAACCCGAGTAAGCAGTTTGATCAACAAGCCTGAGTTTCCCGACACAGATATGATGGAAGTCCTTATCTGAGGAGAGGTAACTTCCTCAGCACTTGTACAGCTCCATTCAAGTCAAAGGAGGCCGTTGTGCAAATCTTAAAACTAGGTATAAGAGTTTGAAAAAAGATGAAGAAAGTTTGGATCTGGAAGGAGCCTAGAGTTTGGAGTGATTTTGACTTGGAACCAGAGAGGGAGAAAAGAGTCGTGAACATGGGATCGTGGATAATGAAAATGAACATGAATGGCTGGGATATTCTAACAACAAAAGAGCACTGGTTATGAGATGTGGATTGAGAATGAGAAGGTGAAGGAAAAAGGAAACTGCATTTTCTAATGTAAAGAACAAGTATCTTTAATATTTATAGTGGATGCATACAAGATGTTCCAAATGCTGTTCTGTTTTACTGTTTAGCTACAACCAAGACTGAGGGTGAAATCCTCGCTCTGTAAAAGTCAGTGGGAGTCTGTGAATTGTCCAGCAGAAGTTTACACTCTTCTGAGACTTAGTCATTATCCAAAATTGTTCACCAAATAGTCGTAGTGAATAAATCCTTGACTGTAGATCATGCACTACCCAGCTATTATCAGTATTTGTTTCAAGCCATGTTGGTTTATTTTGATTGGACATACAGGTCATGTGTTTGTTTCCTCAGTGTAAGTCTTGGGATCAGGTTTACAGTGCAATCCTTTGTGTTTTTTAGATTCAAGACTTGCCTAAAACTCTCTCTTGCCAAGAGCAGTCCTTCACTAGAATTTTCTTGCAGGTGAGGATTAAAGAGGCACAAATTCCTGCAGAGCAATCTGTATTACTCTTTCGAGAAATGTTTGTTAAAAAAAATGGGGAGAGCTCACTCAGCTCTAACACACAAACACATTCACTGTGTTTAGCAGCAAATGATACGAAAAGTGCTAGAAGCTTTTACTCAGGATGTAGTTGGAGTCAGTGGCTGCATAGAACGTGGAATAGAAAGCATTGAGTGCCTGGCAAGTAGCAACCTGAGCCCCTGCCAAGTATATTCTCTTGAGATAAGCTTATGGCTCATTAAAATAATACTTCAATATACAGCAATATCTGTCTAAACTGCTCCAGCTTGTTGTATTGTCAGTGGAGGAAATTTGATTTGCCAGGTGTACCCAGATGTAAAGGAGGGTGAATTTGAATGTGTAACTGAGGGTGAAATTTAGCTAATGGTTACTAGTAAGGGGAGGAGAATATAGTTGAGAGGAAAATACTAAGACTGTGAACTGGTTTCACATTGATTCTGATGGAGTTAATCTGGGTTTGCTGATGAGATCAAAATCAAGCTTCTAATGTGCATGAAATAACAACAGATGAATCAAAATGTTTGGGATAGGAAATGCTACATTTCCTCTCTGTTAAGTATTGGTGCGAAGGAATGGAGGGCCAGATTTAGGTTCCTAACTCTCAGTGAAATCATTGATGGTCTCCACCCACAAGCCAGTGTAAGAATTGATTCTCATGACTGCATACACAGTTTATTTTGTTGGCTTGTTTTCTACATCACCTGATTGGCAGTCCTGTCTCACGCAAGCACTCATTACTTGTGAATCAGGATTAGGGGACTGGCCTTGAACTTTAATCCCAACACACATACTTGTTTAACATTGCATAATTCATCAGCTGAGTGTCGTTCAGGTATTGTGATTGGCATATTTCAGTGTCGTGGATGTGTATATTTACACATGCCTAGAAGTTAATGGATGTTGCCTGTCCTAAGCTTTGCTCTTAGATGGTGTCACACACTGCTGTTCAGCGGTGCCAGTAGTAGACCTAGGCCCACGTGAGCCCTTAAAATAAAGCTTAACTGGGACTAACATGGCACAAGCACTATATAAAGGGGTCCCAAGACTGCTTTCTTCACAGGATTGAATTTCATCCTATGTGATTCTTCTAGCACTTGTTCAAATATAAGTTTTCTGTGGAACAAGGCTCTGTATGCAGAGCTCCTCAATGGCAGGCTATTGCTATGCTGGAATTCATCTTTCAGTCAGGTTGATTGTTTAAGGAAAGGTCACAAGCAGTTTTGTTTAATAGGAAAAAATGGGCTTTTTCTTTTTCCATTCAATCAGAGCTGGATATTTTTTGCTTAAAATGAAAATAAGAACATTACATTTGGGCCAAGCTTTGCAAGAGTCTCCCCAAAACAAATAGCATCTTAACCATAGTGACCGTTTTTCAGCCCACCCCCATTTTTGGAGAGGTTAGCATGGCTAAACCTGCTGTGTGGAACTGAGAGTGTAGTCCCTTTCTGTGCTGCCTTGGCTTAGCCACTGTCTTGTCCTGTTTCCTGGGGCAAGTCAGTTAATTTCTCCTGATCCCTTTCACTACCGTTTTGCACCATTTTTACCCTAGTGTTTATCTTGGTGGTATTTCACTGACCTAAGGTGGAAGCAATGCATTGTGGAATCAGTCTCCCTTCATGTCGCTGCTTCTCAACCTGCAAAATAGAAATGGTGATGCTTTCCTACCTGGCAGAGGTTTTAAAACCCTGACATCTCCCCATTTTTCACTTGGAGGAAACAGAAGCCACCCAGGGTCTGGCCCTGCACTCCTGGAGTGCCACCAGCTCTTGTTCAAGTTAGTGGGAGCCTGGAGCACTTCAGGCATGTAAGACTGGACCCCAGAAGTTGAATTGCCTTATGCTGAGGTTTGATTATTTTCTGCTGGGCTGCTGTCTCTTTCTCTACTTGTTTTTTCCCCAAGATAGAACATTTCTCACTTTAAATGCGTCTTTCTTGTGTGTGAGTTGCTGAGCAGTTCAGACACACAATTTACCAGTTCGGAGCTACCAGTTGCATGCAGCTTTGCTTCATGTATTGTTGAAGCTGATGGGTAGATGTTCCTCTTCAGGATTTTGTTGACTCTTCCCCAACCTTCTGGCTACCACTGACACTAGAAATGAAGTGGCATTGAAAAGGGGTGATAGTGCTTTCAAGGGAAGCAGCACAAAGCAGGAAGAGATTTGCAGTTACCTATTTGGGGTCATTCATGTTATTAGAGCTAGCCCCAAAGTCATATTGGGCCATTCTTGTAGACATAGAAACAGCTCTTGATACTCTCAAGAAACTGCAACCACTTTAAACTCTGCTTCCGTTGAAAACAGAAGATATTGTGATTACAAGGTATGCAGGTGCCAAAGCCAGCCCTGCACTTCATACAACATGGAGTAGTGCATAGCAAAGAGACCCTTTTCCTGAACAAAACTAGTTTGTTAAACATATGCACTTATTTTTGTCTGTACATAGAAGTAGTCACGTGTCAGTCTCTCCCTCTTTCTGATTTTTTGCACTTGTTAGACAAAGACATAGTTGATAGGTTATTCAGTAAACAGAAATCTGTGTATGTTTTAAGTATTGGAAGCTTTGCCTTGCCAAACAGAATGTGTAAACCTTTTGAAGACGTTATGCAGCTTAATATATGCATTGTAAAATAATTTTATTTTTCCTCTCTCTGTTAATTTAAAGTCTGTGCGTTCGATGTGCGGCCTCAATGTGGCAACAAATAAGTGCTGGTATTTAACATGCTCCTGATCTTGGTGTTTCACTCGCATCAGTTATCCTTTTGCAAGTACAGAGTTGCCCTGTTAAGAGGAAGACAATTAAAGCAAAGGAATGAAGATAAAACCAACCATGACAAATGTTTCACTTAATGGATCTTATCCAAGGAATACCAATGCACAAATGCCTTCTAGTCCCTTGGTTTGCTGAGTATTTTATTGCTAGCTGTACTATTTCTTTTCAGAACAAACTATTTAATAAATGCTGTACATGTATATAACTAGTCGTCCAGCAAAACCAGCGTTCCATTAACATGCATGATGTTGATGTTGATGCTTTCACACAGTTACTATATTCCTTAGTGGTGCAGCTTTCTCCTCTAGGTCAGTTAAAAGACAGCTCTCCTTCTCTCTCTCTATACATTACTCCCTCCAGTTTCAAGTACCCAAAGTTGTGTTTACAATTGATACTGCCCAAGATTATTTGTTTGTATACCCCCCCTCCTATTTATTACAGACCTTTGATGTAGACAGATTTAGGTAGCTGAACTGAATGTAGAGGGTCATTCTTAATGGTTTTGTTGAACTTGATTCATTTTTGTTTTTGTGCAAAGGGGGAGCAATGGATCTTTACCCTGAGTTAGATCACTAGTGGACTTTATGTAAAGTACTGCTGTTGGTAAGTCAGTTCACCTAACCTCAGCCAACCAGTGCAATGATGTTGCTAATGTCAATCACAACTGTTTGATTTGTATTGTGTTTTGTGAAATTGTGCTGTAGCCATTCCAGGTGACATCAGTAACTGGTTGTAAAATATTGTCATTTTCGATTGTGGTCGGTTGTATAGAATGGTTGGTGTACAGTGTTGTACAGCTGGAGGGTTATTTGTACATACGTGGGGAAATGAAGAACTTTGTGTCGCCCACAGCAAATATTGATATTGTTGGTCAGCCAAAGATTTTCTTATTCTTTGCTGCTTAAACCTGTGCCTTAATATTGTATATAATAAATGTATAAAATGTTTCTTTTTTTGTTTCTTCCAGTGTGCAGTGTATTAGCATTCTGAGGAAAACATGTCATCTGTGGGTTTTTAAGTGATTCTCCAATTTTTGCAGGCCAGCTGTAACTAATGATCCAGATCCTTCCAGATTGCTTGTCTTCTCTTTCAGTAATCCTGTATTACTGATCTTGTTGCAAATTCACAGTGAGGACAAGTGGGAAGGAAGTTGGTTTCCCCCTTGAAAGACCGGGACAAGACAAACCCCCTGTGCACAGCAAACTCTTTCATAGATTGGCCAGCGAAGCCAAGAGCAAACACAAGCAAATGAAAAGAACCTAACTGTGCCCCTACAGACACACGGACCAGGCTCAGAGAGAATCCATCTGTTTTGTCTATGTGGAAGCAGTTTGCAAAGACAAGCAAACAAGGTGCTTTGGCTCACATCCTCAAAACTGTTCAGGCACCTGATTCTCATTAAGGTCCTTAATTCCTTAATCCCGGTGATTTCAGACCTTTTTGGAGCTGGGGCTTCTTTTCTCAATGGATTAAAATAAGCCCTGATTCAGCTCCTTTTGAAGAGAGTGGCAAAACTGCCCCTGGCTTCACCTGTTCAGGAGCTGGGGCATAGGCGATGCGTAGGAGGCACAGGGGAGCGCATGTCCCCCACCGGCAGGGCTATCCCCACCACAGGTGGCGTCTGCGGATGCTCGCCAGCTCTGGCCCCGCCATCGACACCCCCGGTGGCATCTACAGGAGCTCGCCAGCTCTGCTGCCGACGCCACCGGCAGCTTCTGCGGGTGCTCCCCCAATCTCAGGAGGCACCAGTTGCCCATGAGTTGAGGCCATATGAACTAGTGTAACAATATCTTCTGTAAGGAGATCACAGTCCTAACTCTGCATGGTTAGATGGACTTTGAGAGTACTCAGCACCTCCTAGGAGCAGACCCCTTGGAAGAAGTTCATTAGTTCGCTTGTTTGTTTATTCAACAGAAAGTAAGGCCAGGAGGAAGGGGAGCTTCCAGGAGCATCTGGCGCTTAGTAGCTGAGAGCCCAGAAGACTCTCACATGCTCCTGAATAAGTCTATTAGAAAATTCCTGAACTGACTCCAAAGGAGCTCCATATATGCAAGGTATGAAAACCACTTAGGGCATCTCACCATCTGCCTGCCACATTCTTGACTGGCTGTCCTGCACCTGTTCAAAGTAACCCCGGAATTAGCATATGTCAGCAGACACACAGGGATGTCACTGATTCCAGGGCAGATTGCATCTCTCTCACACATCACAGCCGACTCATGCCCCGTACACAGAGCACAAGCTTCAGCGCTGAGCTGGTTTCACCTATCTTAGGTCTCTCTCAAATGCGGAGCAGCTGTATATATTTTTAGTGTACATGGGCATTGCCAGCAACAACGAAAAATGAGGTAAGATGCTTGGCCTTTGGAAGAATATGGCTTGTCACTTTGGAAAAAAGCTGGACCCTGGATTTTGGACTTAACTTTGCAGCCTGAGATCATGGTAAGAAATGAACCAGGCCAGACAAAAAACAATAGGAGACTGAAATCAGCACAGGAAGCTGTGTCCATAAAATTGTCCAGCTGGAAACCACAAAGGATTGTATCACATGTTGGAACATGTGCTCCTGCTTTGGCATTTCAGGAATACCAGCTAAGCTTGAGAAGCTCCTACATCATGTCCAGACTGAAGGGTTAAATGCATAGCATAAACATCCTACCACTGACAGCAATACACATAAACAAACTAGCAAACAGTTTTTCAGTATTTAAAATCCCTGATTGCTGCATTTTCCCAGTGATAGTTTAGAGGAATTTTTCTCCTTTTCTGTACAAACAGGGGAATGGATTAGAGGATCCAAGACAGGATTGATTTACACCTAAGAGACTAACTAAATTAGAGATGTATATAGCATGAGCTTGGACTCTCAAAAGCTTATACTAAATACCTCTGATTGAATTAGTCTGGAAGGTGCATATCCAGCCTGCTTCCTGCCTCACTTCAGACTAACGCAGCTAACTACATCTTTGCTTGTACAGGATCTTACAGGATAGTCCTGTAAGACTATCAAAATAGTCTTACAGGACTATTTTTAATAGTCATCCCAGCTATTAAAAAAATATGAGTCAAGTCCCACACAAAATCATGCAGTCGGCTTAAAAATTCTGAGAATTTTCAGAGTGAATACATTTGTGGTTCTTTCTAATTGCCTTCTGATATCTTACCCTTTCTCAGTTCCAGGTTTCTCAAAGGATCAAACTTTTATTTTAAGGAAAGCTGAGATTTTTCATTTATTGCCATGACTTCAGGAATAGGTGCTATAAGAGAGACCCTGACCATCAAGATTCATGCTGATAGCAGAGGCCTTGAAAACACTACTAAACATATGTTCAGATTGAAATGTCACCTGTGACCACCCTTCAGCTTGAGGAGGGTGGGGAAGGTGATCCTCATAGGCCCTATTGCTGCTGCTTCATTAACCTTTCAAAATGCAGCTGGGTAAGTAGACACCTTAGGCATTTATACGCGTGCTCTGGGAGTGTGTGTGGAGGGGGATGCACCGCTTTAATTAGAGTGGCTCTGAGAGCCACTGTAGTTAAAGCACCTGGAGCAGCTCATGTATCAGCATCCCTGCACATAAGAATGGTGGCGGGGATGCTTTATCTAAAGTTCCTTTGCTTCCCTGTGGTTTGTTGGTTGCAAACTCACAATACAAACTGTGTCAGCCTATTACTTATATCCAATCTGAGGAGATCCCTTCTAGGACCCTAATAATAATATCTGGACACTCCTTTAATAGGCTATTACTCCTTATGATTTGGGCATACAGCAGCTTGAATTTGAAAAGAATGTGGCCTTGGAGGACTTGTCTTCACCACTTCCAACAGTGCCAGTGTCTCTGTAAAAACACTTATAATGTAGCCAGTGGTTAAGGTGGGTCTAGGGCTCATGTATCTGTGCTGTCACGCTCCGTGTCTCAAGTGGGCTTGCTGGTGAAGTCCCAGCACTGTTCTAATGGCTCTGGATCATATTTTATTGGGATTTGGTATGTTTAAAGGAGGAACAAGGGGTGGCTTCTGTTTTTGCAGTGAAGCTCCCCAACACAGGCAGAGGTGGTACTGAAGTGCCCTGAGGGACTGTGTGAATTGAACCAGTGACCCAAGTTTCTTCTTTAAAATGATACTAGGAAACTCCATGGCACTCCCAAATAGTAGATCCCAATGTTCTTCTGGAAATATCCATCATCCTCCCAACTGCATGAGGTCAAGTTATTAAAACCACTTCTGAGAAGAGGAAACCAGCATCAAGAAACTTGCCAAAGGACACACAGAGTTAGTGGCAGAAAAAGATGCAGACCCCAGTACTCATTGCCTGCTGGAATTCACCATCCAGCGCAAGGTGGCAAAAGCCTGCAGCAAGGCAGCAGCCGTGGACTTCAGGAGGGCAGTTTTCAATGAGGTAAGAAGAATAGTTGGGGAAGTACTGAGGTCCCGGAGGGGAGGGGAGTTGGGTGTCCAAGATGAGTGGTCGTTCCTTAAGGAGACGATCGTCCAAGCCCAAAGGGAGGTAATCCCAACAAGGATCAAAGGGGGCAAGAGGGCGCAAAAACCCCCATGGCTCGCCAAGCGCATACGGGAACGTCTCCTAGCTAAAAGGGAGGCATACACCCAATGGAAGGGAGGGGCCGTCACCAGGGAGAACTGTACCTCGGTTGCTCGGGTCTGCAGGGGGGCGGTCAGGAAGGCCAAGGCGGAAATGGGACTGGGACTAGCGACCCAGATCAAGGACAACAAGAAGTCCTTTTTTCAAATACATGGGGGGCAAAAAGAAGGTACCGGGTAACGTGGGGCCTCTGCAAGACACGCTAGGAAATCTGGTTGTCGCACCAGACGACAAAGCTAACCTATTTAACAATTTCTTTGCCTCCATTTTCCTGAGCAGGGACCAGATCAGCCCGTCCGCCAGGACCCCCTCAGGCCCCAGGGCAGGCGCACCCAGGCCTAGGGTCAGTGAGGATCTAGTCAGGGAACTTCTGGAGGGACTGGACATATTTAAATCAGCTGGAGGGAGGAAGGAGGACCCAGGAAACTATAGGCCAGTTAGTCTTACCTCAGTCCTGGGTAAGCTTTTTGAGAGAATTATCCTGGCACATGTCCGCAAGGGGCCAGCAGGGGAGGTTATGCTTAGGGGCAACCAACATGGGTTCATTAGAGGCAGGTCCTGTCAGACCAACCTGGTGGCCTTCTATGACCAGCTCACAAAATCCTTGGACTCAGGTAGCAGTGGACGTAGCATTTCTGGATTTCAGGAAGGCCTTCGAAACTGTCCCTCACCTCATTCTCATTAAAAAACTAGGGGATTGTGGTGTTGACACCTACACAGTCAGTTGGGTCACTAGTTGGCTGGAGGGCTGCACCCGGAGTGTGGTGGTGGACGGGTCCTATTCGACCTGGAGGCACATGGGCAGCGGGGTCCCTCAGGGCTCGGTCCTCGGACCTGCACTGTTCAATGTCTTCATCAGTGACTTGGATGAGGGGGTAAAAAGCACCCTGTTCAAATTCACAGACGACACTAAGATGTGGGGGGATGTGGGCACGCTAGAAGGGAGGAATAGGCTGCAATTGGACCTAGACAGGTTACAGAGGTGGGCAGATGAGAACAGGATGGGTTTCAACACTGACAAGTGCAAGGTGCTGCACCTGGGGAGGAAGAACCAGCAGCACACCTACAGGCTGGGGAACTCCCTTCTCGTCAGTGCAGAGGCAGAAAAGGATCTTGGAGTCATTATTGATGCCAAAATGAACATAGGGCGGCAGTGTGGGGATGCGGTCAGGAAGGCCAACCGCACCTTGTCATGCATCCACAGATGCATCTCGAGCAGGTCCAAGGAGGTGATCCTCCCCCTCTATGCAACACTGGTCAGGCCGCAGCTGGAGTACTGCGTCCAGTTCTGGGCGCCGCACTTCAGGAGGGATGTGGACAGCATTGAGAGGGTC